CATCCTCATTCCTCTTTCATATTCCTCGCCAGTGACCCGCGTCGAAGTACACGCCTCAAGCACACTGCGACAATTCATTTTCCACAATACTCGCCAGTGACCCGCGTTGAAGTACACGCCTCAGGCACACTGCGACAATTCATTTTCCACAACACTCGCCAGTGACCCGCGTTGAAGTACACGCCTCAGGTACACTGCGACCACTCATCACTTCCCACATCGCTCGCCAGTGACCCGCGTAAACGTACACGCCTCAGGTACACTGCGATCATTCACCACATCCGGCCCGCGTACCCGTTCACGCCTCAGGCCCCAATCGCGACCTGAGCATCACACGCCCCAGGCCCGATCCCAACTCAGCCCGCGCCAAATGCGACAGGCCTACGTGATTGGAACCCGAGCTTAGGATGCCTCGGTCCAATCCCGGTCTCACCCGAGCTGATCGTGCCTCGGACCGATTCTCATTCTTGCTTTTTCAAGCCTCAGCCTGTGCCAAATGCAACAGACCTACGTGATCGCTGCCCGAGCTTATGATACTCGGCCCGATCCCATTCTCGCACTTACACACCTTCACATAACTTCCACAATCACAAGCCACACCACTTTTCTTTCTTACCCATGCACATGCTCATCAAGCATTTACCACAATCAACTGGCCCATCACACGCGGCCCGTGCATGCATCAATTAACACGTAAAACATGCTCACTCAGCATTCGATATGGCCAATTTCAACAATTAATTCAATCTGGCCCACGCGTGCACATAATCAAGCACATTTCAATCCATCAAACCACGGTTCAATAAACACACAAGGCTGCTCATGGGCCCACAATCACAGCCACGTTCATAGGCATAATTTCGACATTTCCATGCCTATTAAACATCACAATCTAACCATACTACCACACACCAAACCGACACTACCTGGCCTTAAATCGAGCCCTAAGTTTGCCAATTCCATCCCACAACATCTGACACTCTATTCAGTCTCACTCCAGCCTCGAAACATCCTCATTTCATCCTCAAGTTACCTCATATAACACACAAACAAATACTCAATTAAATCAACCCCATCCAGAATAATTCAAACATGCCAAGAGCACGTAAATTACCAATTTTCTCCAACCAAATGGCGTCGGATTAATTCCGATCCTTCACGGGACTTTCTCGCCATAATTTCTAGGTTCCAAAAATTCAACTTGCGTCCCAATCGGACCATCACAGCTCGGTGAACAGTAATCCACAGCAGTGAACAGTGATTCTAGGCAAATGAACAGTAATTCGCAGCCCCTAATTTTCTGAATTTCCAATAAATATTACCCGAATTAATTCCTAAGGCCCGCCATAAAATTTCCACTCCCTATCCATGTAATTCCGCACCTAATTTCATACTGATTTTGTCCGGAATTACCCGTCGATACCCAAAGTCCTAAATTAGGTTTAGGCGCGACTTACCCGCGTTGGCTAACTCAGCATATCACATGGTCAATTGAACAGTCATTTCAATTGAACCCAACGTGCACGAATCAAACATATTTACACCAGCCCATTACACAGATGCACACGCAATTCTACCACCACAACTCAATTATAATTAAAACACACGTAAAACACATAAATTTCTATTTTTCTCCCACCAAACGACACCAAATTGATTCCGGTCCTTCATGGGACTTCCTCGCCATTAAATACCGGTTCTAAAAATCCAACTTGCGTCCCGAACCGAGCATCACAGCCTCGTGAACAGTGATTCGCAGTTTCAATTTCACCTCAAATTGTTCTCCAAAAATTCCCAAACTAATCCTCAAGGCCCGCCACACATTCCCAACCTAAAACCCCAACGTTCCTCGCCCAAACAACTCCGATTTCAACCCCAAAAATTCAATTATCCGGCGATACCCAATTTCCTAAATCGGGATTAGAGGACGACTTACCACGTTCTAGGCTAAAACGGCTAGAACGGAAAGCGGCGGCACTAAATCGGGGACGGCGGCGACGGCGTACGGCTTGGGCGGTGGTTGGGGGCTCACGGCCAAGAGAGAAAGACCGAGAGGGAGAGAGAGAACGGCGGCTTGGGGGGGCTTGAGGCTCGGCGGTGGAGCAACGGCGATTCGGCGGGCGTGGCCGGCGGCGGTGATGGCGCGGCGACGACGGCAAAGGAAGAGAGAGAGAGAGAGAAAATGGGTCCACGGTGGGGGGGGGGCTTACGACCAAAAAGGGGGAATTTCACGATGAGGAAGGAGGAAGAAGAGAGAGTAGAGAGAGAAAGGGGGTCAAGGGCTTAAAAAATCAATTTTGACCAACTTTTGGCAATTTACCAAAATGCCCTTCTCTTACACAACTAACCCTTTAATAAATCCTAGGGGTATTTTGGTCACTTTCTCCGTTTCTTGTCCAAATCGAATTTTTCCGAAGGAATTGAGCGCACCAAAAATTCACACGTGTCACGTGCAACGTCATCCTAACCTTCCGGCGTGACTTCCTGATTTTCCGGTGTCCAATTTGGGTAAAATTCCATAATTAAATTCTATTAAACGCAACTCAAGCGTTTCTCAAGCTAACGGGCGGCTTGCTGGGGAAATTCGCTGAATCGACTCATGACTGATACTAAATCGAGTCACGTGCAAGTCCGTTCGGTGCGTGACGACCTCGGTTGTCATTAAAATCGCGAAGATCAATCACTTGATCCGAGGGGTACGATCGTTCGGTATAATTTCAGAATCATTCGTCAAGTCGTTTCGTGGTCCAACGGAATCACCCGCGATCCACTACTAGGACAGTGGCGAACTGACCCCTAACTATCCTTGGATCGGCCAACAGTGGCTCAAAATATCACTAACGCGATTTAATGGTCGAAATCCATTCACGATCGAATTTTCTTTAGTCGCGCGAATTTAATTCCCCTATTAGCCTTTCCCTAATGGTTAGCATTCCCAGGAATGATCAGTTCCGGGCGAGAACTGACTACGAGTACATTCATAAAATCCAGTATTTCATAAATCCCAAATGGACTAATTTTTCAGGATGTCACAAGTTTGATCGGAAAGCACACACTGCTTCTTGTTTTGCTTGAATTACAATATACATTCTATTGCGAGTGGAAAATATTATATAGTCCATAGTCAATCGCAATGGGATGCTGATGCGTTGCTTCAAAAAAATTCACCATAGAAAATATTTTTTGTGGACTTTCCAGTTTGATCGATTAGGTGACATAATTTAGTTTTGCTTTCAATCAGGTTCATCTATCTAATGCTGGATCAGTGAATAAATCGAAAATCTAACTGGGCTGCTTACATTGATGTTAAATGACCTGATAAAAGTTGAAATAAAGTTCAGTGACTACTCGCTTGAAAATTTAGCCTAGTTATTTGATCATCAGATATAATTTTGGCATATCCTCACATACATACAATTTAGTGGACGATTTTGCTGTTCTGTGTGTGTAAAAATCGGAATTATTTTCCATGCCAGTAAATTCATGAAAGTGTTGGTAACTTTCTATGAATTGAAAATTTTTCTTTTATAACGAATTTGGCCTACAGGTTCACCTCTTAACATAAGAAGTTCTTCCATAATCAAGATGATTACAATTATAAGCAAATATTTCACAACAGTTTCGCAAGATCAGTCATTTGAACAAAAAGAAATTCAACTCTCTAAGAGTTGTAAGATCTTTATGAATTATGACCCTCAACTTGACTCAAAACTGGTGAAATTCTCCCATAATGAAAATGAACACAATAATAAACATATTAGCTGATATAAAGTTTTTAACTTTTGCATTATTATTCATGTGACGAACTCGGAGCTTTAATTTTCTTGCATTTTAAGGTTCTTTTCAGAACGTTGGAATCTCTGATTGATAACTTACAATGCTATAATGGTTCATTATTTCTGATTCACATAACATGTGCGCTGACACCAACAGCAATTCTTGTTATGTGACCCAATGGCCAAGTGATCCTTGTGGAAAGATGCCAAAAAGGTAAATCTCTTGACGGAATCAGTAACCATTGATATGATCGATGGATCATGGAGAATTCTACCTTAACCGCAAGGTTTCGATGCTTGCTGTAACTTCTTAAGATTGGACTGTGACTTGTGAGAAAGCAATTTACTGTGATCTCCTAATCTTGGCATGCATAGCCTTCCTTTGACCTGACTCAGGAGGTGGTCCTGGACCAGGGAAGTAGTCTAATGCCTAAAGATTCGGCCCGAGAGAGAGCAAACAAGGATTATTATCGCAAACGCCAAAGAGAAGTTCAAACTGGTAAAGTGTCTTGATATTTCCTGGAGACTTATTTATGTCAGACTTCAGTTAGAAGGGTCAGAGTAGAACTGCTCAACTTTGAGACGGTCTGATCAAGAGTAAAATAGAGAAAGTATGATCCGCCTACGCGAGTATTTCCCACGATCTAGGAAGTCGAGTGAATTGTAGTAAGGAAAACAGCAGCAAAGGATCGTGCACCAAACTCTTCCTAAATGCTAAACACAAAGTAAGGTTGAGACTAGGACATTAGATATTACTAAAGAGATCTCTGAGATCAACCTTGTTGAATACTGATTGAACGTTTGTTTTAGACTTTTGGTAGAAGTTCCAGATGTGACCCTACCTTATGAGGACAGCATGAGATTCAGAGGGATGAATACATCTTGTTTCATCAATTTCCACTAGGTTTCAATGCTAGGAACCAGAGTCTCTCTAGTCTACCATCCGATTCCAATGGTGAAATTTCTTCACTGTAGCTTTATGATAACAATCCATCGGCTGGACTCACAGTGCCATGTACTCTGTCGGTGGCTTTCTTTGCCTACGACAATCCAAATGTCAAATACTAACCATATGCCAAATTATATTTTACAAGGTAGAAAGGTTTGATTCATTGATTCGCTGTGTCTTACCTCTTTCTCCCAGTTGGTACATCCTGTTAGGACTGCAAGTAACAGTGCCTGTGAAACGAGTGCAACTATAATCCCGGTCCAGAGACCCTGCAGCTCGATTAGAAGACTAAGCGATTATATGAATATCGGAGAAGACTACTATTTACAGTGAAAGTAAAGGATGACGGTAGAATGGTAGGGTAACCAGGAATCACCTTTCCGCCAAAGTGACAGAAAAAACCTAGGAATGTGGCAACCGGAATACCCAACAAATAGTAGGCACCCAAATTGATGAAAGCTCCAATCTTTTGCCATCCACATCCTCTTGCAATGCCTGAAAAATTGTAACTTACAGCATCAAAATGGTCGATATACAAATTGGTTTTGACTTTGAAATATTTGTGATTTGATATATTCTCCATCTTCCCTTGCTACTTATCAGGATAAGGAGTCAAAGTTAGAACTATGTCAGGAGCACCATTGAACTGCCATAATAGGCAAAGTCGCGTACCTGAAAGCACGGACTGAATGCCCTCGAAAAAGTGGGAAGTTGCGAGTAGTACCAACATATCTCCCACGTATCTCACGACTTCTTCTTCTGTGCTATAGAGGTAGCCCCACGCCCTTCGGCCAAAGATCATGAGAGTACCTGCAAACAAGCCTTCTGTGGCGACCATCATTAAGGAAACATAAATTGCCAAACGAGCTGCTCGGGGTCTTCCAGCACCCAATTCATTTGAAACTCTTGTGCTGCCAAAAGTAACGCGAAGAAAGTGTGAGACTGGAATAGCTGCTTCTTTTGCAAGATCCACTTAAGTAAATAGAGCTTAACCAGTTAGCCTTACCTTATTGAACCACTGAGCCCTAGAGGTATCATGTAAACCAAGCTACAGGTGTTCAGGCTGAAAAAGAACAAGATAGTTTATATTGTTTGGAAATGTTAGCAACTGGTGCTAAGAGGTTAGCCTTTTTGTTCGCTTCTTGTTTGCATACAAAGGACTGATCTACCTGATTGAGAGGACCGACATCTCAAGTTTTGGGTTGGGAAGAAGTCCTGATAATAAGACCATCATTTCGAATGACCACATCTCGAAGCTGTTGCAGGCGATGAACCAAATAGAAATATCGTCATTGCTCCAAGTTACAGAGAATCAGGAAAACCAATGTCGATAATGTAAGATTATATATTTGCCCGCAAAGAATAGCGTGAAAGCAAATTTATAAGAAAATGAAATCCCTTCAAAGGTGTAAAAATCTAATCATGAACGTAAACTAGAATAAAAAGGTCAACAGCTCATTAATGATTCTGAAGAAGGATTACGACCATCATATGTCTTGTACAACCATCCTGCGAGTTGTTGGATTTTTATAAATCATTTGGTTTGTCAATAGTGAACTAGGAGAAGCCTAGAAGCTTGAGAAGTACCAGAGCATGACAGCCGAAGGAATTGCTAATTTCAGAAATGCAAAGATCCCATGCACGGCCTCCTTGGAGAAACCAGTCCAGGTTCTCTTACAGGACGGTGAAATTCTAACATAAATCGCCATCAACAAAACATTTATCCAATAGGAAATGGAATTCGCCAAAGCAGCACCTTTGTTTCCAAGTCCAGAGTTGAACACCAGGAACCAACATATGAAAATGTGCAGCAATGCAGTGACTCCTGAAATGACCATCAGCGGAATGACATTGTTCTGTGTCTGCAGAAACCTGACGTGGCACTGCAGAAGCGCATACGCAAAAATGCTAGGGATCATGAACAGAGCATAGGATCCTGCCTCCGCCGATATTTGAGGATCTTGCTTGAAAAAGAGAAGGATTTGGCCCGTGTTAGCCCATATGATAGCGAGCGGAATGCTAGCTATTAGGAGAACGATCATGGCCCTCTGCTTGTGGATACCGAGCATGTGGTATTGTTTAGATCCATAAGACTGACCACAAAATGTATCCAATGCACTTGCCATTCCTATCTGTTATTGACCAAGCATCTATAAGATGATGTTTGGAGCAATTCATAGATGTCCACCAATAATATCAAAAAATCTCGTCAAGATATCCTAGAAACCCAAATCAGGCCTTGCTTGGAGCATCATCAAGAGTGTATTGCCATAGTTCACTCAACCGACATGTGATGGAAGAATCTCAACAAAAAAAAGTGTTTATCTAATTCATTATCGGCCTAGGGCCCCCAACAATCTTTTTCAAGTGCAGTTAACAAATGTTCTAATTCGTGACAAACACCAACATTAAATTTCCAATCTCAGCATTGCTACACCTAGCTAGAAGGGAGAAATCACACATTTAGCACACTGAGCTTATTGAGAGATATATGTTCAGTAGATCAATCTTTGTCAAACTGCAAGAATCTGAAAAAGAGCTAAGATTAATAGATAAGCAATCTATGCAAGGTACTTGGAAAACCTTACCCAATAATCACGTCAAGAATAGAAGTGGGATCGTTTTTTCCAAGATGAATAACATTCTGGAATAAATCTTTCATAGAAGTGACAAAGTATGATGCTACTTCCAATGCTTAAAATCTTTCGTGTCTTAGCGATGCAGTCAGTAAGAAGAATGGTTAATCTCAAGATTAAAACTGGAAGAACTGTTCTGTCTTACCAACAAGCTAAAGCCAGTTACGGAAGCGAAGGAGGTGGCCATGGAAGCACCGGAAAGCGCCAGCTCTCCAAGATGACCCACAAACATCACCGAGATCACCTGCAAACAATATATCATCAGGTTCAACGATACCAGTGGCCCTGCCAACGACAGTTGCTGCTTCATTTCCGAGAAAATCTCTTCTTTCTCGAATCCATTCCTCGGTTCGGACGCCTTCTTCTCCTGGGAAACTGCTAACAGGGGTGACTCCAAATGCTGATTCTGTTCTTCCACATCCATTGATTGCTTCCTCTGTGCCCTTTGGGCTGAGTGGGCGAAGCAAACCCCCCCCCCCACCAAAAAAAAAAAAAAGAAGGGCAATAGCTTTAGAGATACAAGAGATCTTTCAGCAGAAAAAGAACCAGTTGATGGCTTTGAAGAACATCAACACACGGTCTTCCTCTGACGGCTACGCTTGTCTTCTCACATGCTTGGTGAAGTAGACTTTGGCAGACTTTTTGTCGAGTCTGATTTCTTTGGAGTATCACATACCTCAATGGTCTCCATAGCCTACGTGCGAGAGCTTTTGAGGTGCTAAATGCAAATGAAGTGAACCGAGGGAACCAGAAGATCCTACCAAATGAGACAAACCTCATGTCGTTCTGACAAATATGGTTGGAGATTTGGCATTCCTTGTTGCTTTACTTTAATTAGGAAATAAAAATCCTCGTAGACAGAATATGATCCGCGTAGGTATTATCGATGTTGATGTGTTGCCAGAGAAATTCAGTCATATTTCGTCGCTCACTGAACTTTTCCTTTGCTTTAAACAGGTCGATGCATAACTTTAATGTTCCAGTTGTTACTAGAGCAAACGCTGAGCTTTTAATTTCGATCTTTAATCAAGTCACTCCATTGATTTTCCGATCAATGATACACTGAAGATCTAATATTATTGAAAGATGAATTAAGGGTTAGTGTCGTATAATGAATATATTACTATGTAGTTCGTTTTAATCATTGACAAAAGTTTTGGAATTGAGCTTGTTGGAAAACATCCCTTAATTGATTTTCACGAAAACAAAACTTAATTGAGTATTTAATATCTCTTCGATTATGGCTTTGTTTGTTTTGCGGAAAATAAATGTTTTGAAAAATATTTTGAAAAATATTTTCCTAAAAACGGTGATTTGTATCACTTATATAAATGAATGAATGATAAATATTTTTATCGTCCACAAAAAAAATTAGATATAAATTATTGTTGATAAAGATAATATTTTGCATTGATCAATTATTACAAGTAATACAAGCGATCATTTTTAAAAAAAATATTTTTCAAATCATTCACTTTTCACTAAACAAATGGATCCTACTGTGCAACTATAGTTTGTTACTGTTGATATAAAAAAAGAATAAGATGTTGTATTTGTGAAGTCATGGGCTACTAGATTCAAAAGAGAGGGGTAGACTTATCAAAACCGAACCTTATAAATCTCGCTTGCAATTTCTCTTTCCTAAACTCCTGACGATATTGCACGTAGAAGCCAAAAGGGATTGGTTCTAAATTTGCAGCTTTTATTCTTGAAAATCCAATTCAATCTCTCTTGGTTGCTTATTTGGACCTAACACGGAGTTGATTAGAAATGGCCGGATCGATGTGATTGAAAGTGGAATGAAAGTTTTCGTGACCAGATTAGCAAAATCAAGAGCTTCGTGACCTGTTTGAAGTAACAGCGTAAGTTTTTGTGATTGTGACCTTAATAATCCCTCCACTAAATCGTCATAGTGTCAAAGGTACAAGATTATTGCACTTAAACTTCGCTAAGACGGGACAAACACCATGATTAATATTGACTAAGTTAATCGAAACTGTTAAACAACCTTCAGGTGATATTGGTAAGTTACTTCTTATATTTCTGTATCCCTAATTAGAATAATTATAGCATTCATTGTTGGTGTAATAGAGAAACTTTCCACAAGCGACTTTATTATCAACAATAATTTATATCTAAATATTTTCGTGGACAATAATTTCTTTTTAATCCGTTCATTCTTGTAAGTGATGCAAGCAATTATTTTTACGAAAATATTTTTCGAATAATTCATTTTTTGCGAAGCAACACACTCTAATCGAATCAATGATTTACCAGGAAATAGTCATACCTCCGTGCTCTATCCGTGTATAGGTCCTTCATTTTGAATGGTAATCACATGAGCCCTGGCGTCTTACTGAGCTACGAAGATCTGCTTTTTCAAAAGTTAGATATGTGTTTATTCAACCTGTTTGCTGAACTATGAAGATTTGCTATTTCAAAAGTTAGATTTGTGTTTATTCAACCTATTTTGATTGTCTCCATACAGCTATGGTGTAAAAGAAGCTGAACTTAGGTGTGTACCGCCAACTTGTAATAGTTATTGGAGAATGAATTTCGGGCATATGCTCATCACTGACCATGATACAATATCTAGTGATTGGCCGCTGATTATTTTGCTCGACATATCTGTTCTTATAGAACGAATGTATGCTTTACCTTGCCGGTACTCCGTTGATCCTCTTTGTTTTTTGGATTTGACTTTGATTTGTAATATTCTGGGCTTTGCTCTGCTTCGAATTTTCTTTGCCATGAAAGTTTATGTGCTTCTCATGTATCCTTTTGAGCAATAAATACAACTTTCTTTCGATAAAAAAAACGATCAAGTTGAGGAATATAAGCTCTATTTATAGCCTCAAGATATCTCTTATTTTAAATGACGATGAAGTCAGTTATATATGCGTTGACTTCTAGTGTCTTCGCAATATATGTCATCCTAGTCAAGGTTGAGAATGAATGGGTAACTTGCTAAACCACGCGTATAACCTAGGTTATAATTGATGCCTATTTTACCCATGTAATGCTTGCTTAGTAATAAATATCACGCAGATTATTACAATATTTATATATTGGGTCATAAAACTTCTCGCAAAAGTACGATTGAGTGTTAAAACTTTTAAACAATGCAATCAAGTCCTAAAACATGTCAAATTGGTGCAATAAGTCCTTTTGTTAACTCTGTTGATTTGGGTAACTGAAAATGCTTACGTGGCATTTTTTTATATTATTTCATCTCTACTGCATGAGATTTTTTTATTATTTTCTTTCTCAAATCTTACATAAATTAGATTAGAATATAAGAAATGATATAAACAAATTTAAAAAGGGAAAATACCACCAAAAATCCCAAACTATACCACTTGTGATAAAATTACCCTGAATTTTTTTTTGTGACACGAAAAATCCCAAACTATGCTACTTGTGATAAATTACCCTGAACTTTTTTTTTGTGACATTAAAAACCCCAAACTATACCCATTGTAACACATTTACGCCACAACACTTTGGCCAAAGGGCAATTTCTTCTTTTTCCTTTTCATGTTTTTTTTATCCCTTTTTTTTTCTTTCTTCTCTCTTCCCTCCGCCGGCCATGGCGGAGGGAAGCCGGCGAGGGTGGCCCTCGCTGGCGTTGGAGTTGGGCGAGGGCTGCCCTCGTCGGCATCGGGCTAGCATTGCCCTCGCCTGAGTCGGGCGAGGGCGACACTCGCCTGAGTCGGGCGAGGGCGACACTCGCCCGACGCCGGCGAGGGTCGCCTTCGCTAGATTCGGTGAGGGCTGCCCTCGCTCGACTCAGGCAAGGGCGAGAGTCGCCCTTGCATGCCTAGGCGAGGGCAGCCCTCAACTGACGCCGGCGAGGGTCGCCCTCGCCGGTTTCCCTCCACCGGAGAAGAAAGAAAAAAAAAACATAAAAAAGGAAAAAGACGAAAATGCCCTTGGGCCAAAGTGTTGTAGGGTAAATGTATCACAAGTGGCATAATTTGGGATTTTTCGTGTCACAAAAAAAAGCTCAGTGTAAATTTATCACAAGTGGCATAATTTTAGATTTTTCGTGTCATAAAAAAAGTTCAGGGTAAATTTGTCACAAATAGCATAATTTAGGATTTTTGGTGGTATTTTCTCATTTAAAAATAAACCCAAGCTTAGAAAGGATCCACAAGCAATTGTGTGAATTTTTTTTAAATTTATTTTGTGAATTTTTCAACCTCCACGTCGATGCAATTACACCTCCCATCTGTGTCAGGATGATAGAAAGAAAAGAGAATTAACACCATGCTGTAAGATTTCATTTGAATTATAGCTCGGTGAAGAATTTTAGATGGTTACACACTTGTCCCTTTGTAGATATATCCATGGCACCTTCTTCTTCCCCTCTAGCCACCCCTTACAAAAATAAGGTTAGAAGATCAAGTAATCTAGGGAAAAAAAGCTATTGAAAAATGTCATAAACAATATGAAATATGAGGAGAGTGGATGGGATATGGAAGAATTATGAACAAAAAGCAATACCAATTACCGGTGCATTTATCTCACGGAAAATTTAGGATTTGGAAAACTTTTTCTAAAATATAATTATTAGTATTGCTTACAAACCAAACTTAAATAAATGAAAAATATTTTTAGCACCCACAAAATTAGTTAGGTCTAACTTGTTGTCAATAATACAAATTTTTTTCATTGACCAATTTTTCTAACCAATATAATCCTTTGTTTCCCTCTTCCTTTTTATCCTATCCCAATCTATAAAAGAAAAAAAAAATTAATGATTTCTTAACATAATTGATTCGATTAGGGCATACCGTTCTCTCCTTTGTATACTTGCACCAATGTTGTCAAAAGGATTGAACTCCAATCGAATCAGTGTTCTACCAGAGAATAATTGAAGCAAGGTTTGTTGCGAAAATAATTTTCTAGTAGAGCACTGATCGAGCAGAGTTGCATCCTTAATCCAGTTTACTTGAAAAGAGCCAACTCTTCTTTTGAGAATGATGAACTTGGTGAACATGAGCTCTATTTATAGCCCTCTAGGATTTGAGCCACTCCTTCCATCAACAAGGTTAGAAGATCAAGCAAATTAAGATAAAAACTATCAACGGATATCATGGACAATCTGCAATATAAGGAAAGTGCAGATATGGAAGAATCATGAGCAAAAAACAAAGATAATGTATTACGCAATCTTCCTTTATATCCTATCACGATATACGAAAAAGGTAAACGATTTTCTTCACATGGATGATTTGATTAGGGGCGTACCATTCTCTCATTTGGATAGTTGGACGAATGTGGTCGAAAAGAATGAACTGTTATCGGATCAGCGGCTTACGAGGAGATAACCGGAGCAAAATTTTGGTTACAAATGAATAAATTTTCTGGTAGAGCACTGGCCGAACAGAGTATTCACTTCGCTTCAAAAGAGCCATTTCTTCTTTGGTTAATGGTGAACTTGGCGAACATGAGCTCTTTTTATAGCCTTTAGTTACCTCTTTTCCTAGATGATGATGCCGTCAGTTGCATATGCGCGTACATCTAATCTCTTCGCAGTATATGTCATCTTTTTTAATGGCTGAAACCGATCGATTTACTTGCTAAACCAGGAGATAACCTAACTATAGTGGTTATAATTAAATGCCAATTTCTCTCATGTAGATACTAAGTTTTAGATATCCTACAAATGTTTTTCCAATTCATTTAGCACATATTCAGTCTCCCCCCTTTTGCACGAAATTGCAATATAGCTCTTCCGGTCAATTTTCGCCGAAAATCGTTGATATGGCGGTAT